AACACCGCAGACCCAAATGCAATCGATCCGCATTATTATCAGCGAGCGGTGCAGCCAACGCAATCGTAATACCAGACGAGGTCGCACATACGCTAAATATTAAAAAATAAAATATATACACATATACATGTCTATATATATGCATATAGAAAAAAATGAAAAACATTAAAAAAAATAAAAATGAAAAAAACGCGCCTCATTCATGTTTGCCTTTGATTTGCCTTTGCCAATTGACCAAATTGTTTGGCGTGGGCTATAAATATCCAAATGCAAATTTATTTCACATTGATGAACTAATCAAACGGCAACAGCTCAACACATTTCTCGAAGGGCCACCTGTTTTCCAGATGTAAACTAAGCCTACTGCTTGGCTTTTCGAAATATCAGAAAAATACTTTCAGCAATTATTATTTTTTGCATTTGTTTACAAGAGTAGAGCGGAAGAGGAAGAGTGAGAAACAGGGAGAGAGAGAGATAGAGCTAAGGGCAGAACGACGCCACGTGTTTAGCTCAAGTATTTGCCAATGGGTAAACAAATATTTCAGAAATGAATGTATATTTCAGTGTTAAGGTAGTATCAGGGTATTTCAATAGCATAACAAAAGCTGACAGATGTGATCACAAAACATATATTTAGAATTGAACTGTATTAGTTCTGCAGAGACTAAAAGAGCTGGGGCGTTCAATTTTAGTATGTAGTTTACTGTAAGAGTTATCGATTTCAAAAATAATATTTTAGATATGTCAGTCTCTGCTGTGCTCAAGAAAGGCAGAGATTGTGGAAGCTAGAGTTCAGAAATTGAATATAAAAATCAGTTTCTTAAGTATTATCGATGAATTCGCAGAAATTTTATATGAAATTTCTTTGAAGAGAAACCTTATGAAGAAAGGGACTTTGGCGTAAGCAATACTTGAGATATTCAGAGATGCAAAGCACTAGGCCTCTAAAATAGTATAGTTTGTATGTTTTTTTACAGAGCATCTACCAGTCGAGCTGCGCCTTTTTTGCTTGTTTTCCGCTATCAACATACGAGTCCGCTTATCTTATCGTAGTTGGGGGAAACGCTAGACAATTGCTAATTATAGATATGCCTGGCAACTCTGGCCAAGTCATGTGCACTTGGCGCTAAGCCCTACGAAAATTTGTTGCCACCAAATTAAAAACTCAAATGACAAAATGCACTAAGTAGACGCATAAACACGCATATTCAAATGAAAGCCACTCGAGCTGGAGCATTATTTTTATGGGATTTATCCGAGTTCTAATTAGCGCCGTCATTGTTGTTGTTGTTGTTGTTGTTTCTATCTTGTGTTGTGAAAGCGCATTTTGCTTTGATTGTGCGCTGATAAGTGCGCTCTTTATCGACAAAGACATATGTAAGAAGCCCAATCTGTTTTTTTTTTTTTTTTGTATTTTTGGGTGGTTGCTCATCCCAGCTGCAGCTCTATCAAATGGGGACAAGGTTGACATATCGACCGAAATGCAGACAAAAAAATACTTGTGTTTACACAATATTTTATTGTAGTTCTATTTTTTGTTGTATTCTCAGTTGGTTGTCGACTGCATAGAGTTTCGTTAGGCTCGCGGCGCTCCGATTGCAAAGACGCAATGGAACACTGTGGAAATTTGATGCTTCCAGACTCTGGTAGACGATGCAAACGGCTTGTGCGATAATCGATGGCGCCTTAAATTAACGTTAAATATATATTCGATACACAATATACATATATATGGACATACGTACATTGAATATATTGGCACAGATATTGTATATATACATATCGTGTAGCCGTCTATCAGAGACATCTATATGTGCTTGAGATATATACTTACTTAATATAATAAGTTGACTCAACCATTGTTTATAACAATAATATATTTATTTCTCTAGTAGTGCCCGACTAGGAGCTACCCTAAGCAATGCTCAAAATGGATTCTCCTATTATTTAATGCGTTCGGAATCCAATCAAGAATATATACATACTTTTGGGGTCTACTAAGCCTACTGCTGCCTGTTACTAATATTTCCGAAATACCCTAATATGTAAAATATTTAGTATTAAAATTAATTATATATTAAATATTATCATATATTTTATATTAATTTTTAAGATCAGATTTAAACATATTCTTTTTAATTTCAATTACTCTTGCTTTGGCCTGCGCTTTTCAAGCTTTCTAAGTTTTTCGTCACTTTTTTTTTAATTCAAAACTTCCGGAACTACTTCATCAAAATATTCAATTCATTCGTCATAAATGATCGATGCAATAGAAAATATATTTAATATCAAAGGTAACAAAACACAAGCAATGGCAAAAAAGCAACTTCTTGAAAATATGATAAAGTATTTCTTTATTTCCTTCGAATTGTAGACACGAAAAAAGTCGAAGAGGAAGAAGCACAAAGTAAACACGAAAAGCTTTTGCGATATTTAATACCTGCACATGTTATATAAGCTTTTTAAATGTCTGAAAATTAAAGTAAGTCCCCTTTTGGAGAACCACAAATTCGTCAATTAGCAACTCCCTTCTAGATAAACGATCTAAGGCCTTCTAAACTGACGTCAAAGCGATCGTATGCAATTTGCACTGCCAAAAGCAGACAACAATTCAGCGGATATATACGTATATTTTGCTTTGCTGCTCGTTTTCTTTTGCCCAGTTTTAGCAAATATTACAAATGGCAAAGATAAGAGATAAGCTAAAGCGTCGGCACCGGCATCGGCGTCATCGATAACATTTTCCTTTTTAGCTTTTGCTGCTACTTTTTGAAAGAGTTATACTCAACTATAGAGGTGTATATGTTATATATATGTGAGTATATATATTTTTTGCAGCTCTGAGTTATTGGCCATAAAAAGTTTTCGTTGAAATTTGAACGCGTACTCGCACATTTCTGTGAATTATGCGCCACACAAATTAGCACCTGCCTTCGAGTCGGTCTGTGTTTCACATATGTATGTGTAGTAAATATATGTATATATACACATATATATATATATGTTTATATGTATAATTTACTAGCATGTTCCAGTCAACGACAACTGTTGCGTAATTTCCGCCCAACGCCCACATCACATGTAAAAATTTACAATGTCTTGCATCGAATTCTCAAACGGTTTTTGCTATAAGTGTTACCAGACTTATTTATGGTCAGATAATGGTGAAGCATGGTATGTTGGGTTTCTAAATTGATATAAAATAGCCAAATGTAGGCATGACTGGCTTTATAGAGTTAACATAACATTGATCTGGAGTAACAACTGAGTTGACTGAGTTGATCTAAGCATGTCGATCTCGGCACCAAGAGCTTGTCAAGTGTGGTTATCGATAACTTATTCTCGTTATCTTGAAATCGTTTTAAGTTTTAAGCTTTTTCCACACATTATTTTTAAGCATGACTCATTAAATGTTGCACATAGATATTCGAAAAGTATACAGGGCATGCCCCAGTCAGGCATACCGCAGTCTCACATATTATTTATATTTTGGTTAAGTGTTTAAAAAATTGCATAAACTAAACTTTTATTTATAGGCCGACAATAAGTGTAAACAAACACTTAACAAAGTATTCGAAAGAGTGTTTTGACTGCACGAATGCAAGAATTGTTTGCGCCATAGAAAATAGAACCAAAGATACAAATAGATAAATAGCTGTAGCATATATATAATCTAAGGTTTTTCTATATATCTTTTTGGCTATATATGAAAGAGTTTTAGCTTGAGTGCATTTAAAGGGTACTCATCATAAACGCGCGAATAGCTGCTCAAGATTTCACAACGAATATTTTTTCCCCACAATTTTTTTTTTTGTAATTGCGAGGCAAGAGAGGAAAAAAAGGTTTAATTTTTTTTATTGTTGTTGCGGCGCTTAAGTAATTTTAAGTGGCCAAGTGGCCCGGTAGGGTTAAAGCGGGTCGCTGTTTTATTGAGCGTCGTCTTTCGTGTGGTCTGCTTTCGTGGCTTTTTGGCAATTATATAACTATAACTGTTGCTGACGGCTTGAGAAACAGGGTCAAGTTTGGTTGTAGATCTCAGCGCCAAAAACCGCAAAAACAAAGAGAGCTCAAATGAAAATTATAGGCAATAAAAGATACAACTGCAACGGCAAATTGCATAAAACACAGATTTCGAATTACAACTCGGCTTTCAGCACAACTTGGGTACATATAGTTTACATATACACATCATATATGCATATTAAAAGTCTCACAAGGCACTCAATTTATTTGCCTTATCACGCTTTGACTCAAAGGCTGCTGATCCATTAGCAAGCAGACCTTGATCTTAGATAAGACGAAATGTTTTCAATTTTCAATGCTTTGCTTCTGTTTTCTTTACTTTTTTTTTGCTCAATTTTACTCACATAACACACACAAAATTTAATACAATTTTGATTTTGATATTTGGTTTTTTTTGCACACTTTTTGTTTTCTATATATGCTTAAGATACATTTGTATCTGAACAAACACGCACACACAACTGTTTAGCTTGTTTCTATATATATACATATATATAACAAATATATATATATATATATATATATATCGTTATATTGCACCGGCACAATTTCAATGATCTTTTATTTCTTTGTTTTATTATTCACAGAAAGTCCTTCAGCCGCGTTCTTCAATTTTTGAAGATCTTTCGTGCTGGCTGCCTGCGCAACGACTGTGTCGACTATCAAATCTTTTTTTCGTTTTTCGGGGCGCAAAAAAAAGAATTTCGAAAACGAGTCTGAAGAAGAGGCGAACAACAACAACAGCAGCAACAACAATAGCAACGACAGCAGCCGAGAAATGTCAACGAAAACTGAACGAAAAGCGAAAGAACAAATAAACTAACTGCAGGCACATAAATTGGCTCTAAGTGTGCATAAGTTTGTGTGTATGTGCATGTGTATGTGCATATATCTTGTCTTTGATTTGGATATAAAAACTGTAAAGCACCTTTATTAAACTTTAACTTTCATATATTTTTTGTTTGCATTTTAATTACCTAACACAGAGCGAAGGCGGCTGTGAGGATCAACACTTGGGGTGGGCGGCGGCGGTGGCGGCGTTAAGTGTGCGGGCGTCGCGTGATTTGAACGATCAACGGCCAACAAATAACGACAACAATAATCAAATCTTTATAGTCAGATTTTATGCAGCGCTTTTGTTGACTGTCACAGCTGCGTAACGCGGCGAAACTAACTAGTGTTTAACTAGCTAGCAGGCTGGGCTGGCTGGCTGTCTGGCTGGAACAGACACACACACACACACGCGCGACCGTTCGATGGGAAAGCTTAACGCCGAATAAACGCAACGCACAAAGCGAGCCACTGAGCAAAGCAAAACTGAAACTTCACCACCGGTACGCACACATATAAATACATTTTTTACAGTTTTTTTTGCGGCGAGCGCAATGCATGTCGCCGGTTGAGCGTGAGCGAGAGCGAGAGAGAGAGAGAGCGAGGTAGAGAGCGTGAACAGCTGGAGCTGGAGTGAGCTTCGATGAGCGCGAATATCTGCTGCTGCTGATCTTGCTGAGCGAAAAAGTTTTGCCATCGTTTACCGGTGCGCTCTTTGCCGCAATGAAAACACGTGGAAGGCAAATACACACGCTCGCACGCACAAACACACACACACTAGGTACAATTAATTATGATATTTCAATAGCAACAGAGTTGATTTAGGCATTTGCAAAAGTACGAGCATGAGTTGTGTTCCAAAAAGGAAAAAAGCTTATGCACTCTTATCAACAAAGAGCCGAAAAGAGGGAGAGAGAGAGAGAGAGTGGGAGAGACGGGGACAAAGAGACAGAGAGCGACAACTGAGCTTTTGGCAATATTTGTTATCAATTTGTTGATTTATATTTTTTTTGTTCAGCTCGCCAAACTCAGTTCATACCTTATATAAATACGTGTGTAGTTGGGCATATCAACACACCTATGTATATCATATCTTATCACTGTTATATCTTGCACTGATAGCAAACACACACCAAATATTTTAGTTGCACTTTTTGACTCAACATTTTGGTTCCATAAAAAGTTCTTTGTTTAGTTTGCGTGTTTAACCGTTATGTATGGCTAATTATGCGAAATGACTAGCTCTGAAGTACGGAAACAATAGATCGCTACGTTTTTTTACGTTTTACTAGGTTTGTGGGTCAAAGTTTAGGGTTTATTGTGATTAAGCATATTGTTCATAGGAACTTTCCCATATTTGAGGGGCCCAGCTCACATTAATTTTTTACTTATTTTTGTGGTATATGCAATGTGATACGAGTTCACTTGAGTGGCAAAACTTGTGTTAATATCAATGTTAAATATTTGATTTTGAATTTATCTTATCGCCATATCTTACAAGCACACACATATTTTCGATGATATCACCCCCAAGTGAAAACCATACCTCTTTCTTAGTACTTCTCTTAGATTCTTTTGGTCTGACTGTTAATTAAATAGATTTTAATTTATTTAAATTTCAATATTCGCATCGTTTTCTCGGGGCTTCGGGGCTTATCTCATCTACAAAAAATTCTCATCGTCTTTTTATTTTAATCATGCTCATAAAGTGAGAAAGCAGAAGGCAATGCGTTTATTTGCCTTTAACCTTGCATGATTAGAACTAAACGCCACACAGCCAACGAAAATAAGATTTAGACGAATCTAGTTTAGAGTGTAGTTGACATACCTTGTAATATATAGAAACAAATAAAATTCATATTAAAGTTTAAATTAACTCAAAATTTAGAAATCTTCCATATATAACTGCGAACATCATGACCCTAGTATACCCTGTAAAACTGTAAGTAATATGAAATGTACTGGAAACCAACATGAATAGTTGTAAAATATACAAATACATACATTTGCATGTTAACTTTAACATATATATACCCTGTAAAATGTTAATATTTGACAACATTTTAGGAAAAACAACACAAGCTGTCGAATATTTGATTATAAGACCTATAAAACAAATGGGAATTTCACAATATATATACAGGAAAGGGTTATATAATATGTATATACCCTGTAAAAAATATATACACAAAAAAATACGTCGCAATTTCTAAAAGTATATTAATTGTAATAGAAGCTTTAACACATTCAATATCCTTTAGAAAAATATATTTATTTTCTAATAATTTTTGATTATTTTATACCCTGTAAAATCGAAACAATATGTTTAAATTTAAATCAAATTTAATATTAATATACTCAAAAGAATACTTGAATGTGTATACCCTGTAAAAATATAATTTATTCGAAGTTACAAAGAATTTTCGTCAATTTGAGTCATATTTGAAAAGCCTTTCTCTTATAAAAGTGTCCTTGCTACACTGCAAACTAATCTCCCCCATATTGATCAGCATATTTGTTAGCATTTCGCATAAACGTTTTAAATTTCTATATATATCCATGGGCTTTTGTTTATCTTATTGTTGATATTTGCGAAAAGGCAGAGCCAGCCAGAAGACGCCTCACCTGCCCAGATCGATCGGATAGCTATTTTTCGGGTATACGTCAATTGTATCGGAAGTGTCCAACAAAAACAGGTCTGATAAAAGCAAAGAAACAAATAAAGAAATAACAAAACTGAATGAAATTTAGTACAAAAAATCCAAATTCAAATCTGAAATATTTTAATTGCAAATGAGTCTAGCCTTGAATAAAACGTGACGTCAGAGCCGTGAAATGATCACAGCAGAAAGAAGCTAAACTAACAAATGGGTTATATATATATAAATATATAGATATATATATATATATGTATGTATAGTCGTATCCATATAGGTAAATTTATATATATGGGCGCTGTCGTCATAAAATATGATGATGTATACGAGCATTTATAAAGCTGAACAAATTATTTTGAAAGGTGAGCCCAGAGAGTTATAAAAAAGCCAAACGGATTCAAAGCGCAAATGAAGAAGAGGCGAATAAAAATAAGAAGACATAAAGATATAATTATATGAATAACTACATATCAATGTGAATACGAATTTTCATGTATATTTAGCAAGCAAACAGTAGCTGGATAACCAGTTGGAGTGCTTTAGTCGGGAATACTCGACTAGGAAATATCCCGAAGCCTGCACAGGAATGCTATAATCAGAAATACTGCACATAATCAGGGTATTTCTTACAGAAACAGTAACTCTACAGTAAGCTGATCTCTAGCTTTTATGGTATTCAAGTTAGCCATTTAGCGAATTATTATAGTTCATTCCAGAAATTCGAAACTAAAATTTAAAGCTTAGCGTATCACTTTCTGCACTTGGAACTTTCTTTTCATAATTTTGAAAAATCTTAACTTATTTCCCGAGATATTTACTTGAAACAGCTGACAGATTACTGATAAAAGTTCTCCTTAAAATTGTTCTTGCCTGTGCAATTAAAGGCAAATGTATTATTAGCTAATATCTGATACTTATAAATATATATAGAGTGAAGTACACTCTTATTTGTAGTTGTTTATTGTATTATATGATTGTTTGTCTACGGATCGGTCTATTGTAGAGCGATATCAGGCCTCGATACTTGCGTAACAGTCAGTGGCAAAAATTTGTTTGTACTCAGTCAATAAATACGTAGAGCACTAGATATATATAACTAAGAAACGGGATACAATTAATAAACACAAACAGAAACTGAGGAAAATATAAATTATTTATTCCGTTTGCTATTCACAACTAATTAAGTAAATAATTCATTATTTTAACGTATCGAGTTGACTGGGAGAAAGAGAGAATCTTTGACGATAAGATATAGTTCAAATGAATTCAAATAGTTTATAAATATCTACATACTTTGTCAAGGTCGGAAAAGTTCTTAATTTTGGTTTGATTTCATTTTTTTCGGCAGCTCAGCTGATTTGGTAATATTCCTCGATTAGATAGTCATGATATTTATTAATGCCATTAGCTTAAGTTAACGTACAAATAAATTTTGCTCACACTTCAAAACTTTATCCTTCAATTATCGGGTAATCGTATATATATAAACAAACTTATGAAGAATATTGTTATGCAATTTGCATTGCTCGTAATACAGATCACGATCAGATCACGAAGCGAACAGAGTATATTAGATTTGCGCATAACGCGTCTTGTTCGTTTGTGAGGCGAGGGACTTAAAATTTAGAATATATTTCCATATGGAGCTTTAAGATCTTGCATCTTGGGACATAGTAAATCTGATATAGCAGAAGGTATAAGACACTTGAATTTTGTATTATCTACTCAACCCTAGACCAAAATGGTATTAAAACTGTATCTTTCATAGTTTTAAAATCCATCTACACTTTATTGACTCATTAGCCTTAAGAGATCAAGTTCTTTCTCTTCAAATAGTTTATTTTTATCCTAGCGAGCTTACCAATAGCACTTTGCCTTTTCCTAGTGTCCAATTTCAAAGAGGTAGCTACAGCTGTCAGCTGTGTGTATCAGTTTTCCTGGTTTCTTTGTATTTTCATATGCCAGATCAATTAGACATAAACTCAAGTTTGCTTTAAGTGTTTACAATAGACTCATGTATTTGTACAGATTTTCAACAGACTTTTCTTTAATCAGAGTCCCTCTAATATATAATCTAATATCTGATCGTGCCGGGTACTCAAAGTCTGGCATACCCGGCGCTTGCACAACATATATCTAATCACATGACCAAAATTCTTCTATAGCTTGCATTATTCTTTTTTGTTGCTATTTTCTTTGACACTTTGCTGACAAAGCGATTAAATTTAATTTCCATCAATATTGATATATTTAATATTGATATAACTTCAGATATGATAACAAGCAACTAGCAAAGACCTTCGATGCATTCGTTAACGATGAAAACAACCTAATATATAATAAATAGTTTGGAATTGTTAAAAAAAACTTATAGAGATCTTAATAAGGGAGTGTATCATATCCGAATAGAAAGAGTAAGGAGAAAAAATATAGATAAAAAGTTATACTCATTCACAGACCAAAAAAAGTTATATTTTCTTAAAGAAAATTCATATTTTATGTTTTGTCAGGTTCACATGACTTAAAGGTATAAAAGTAGAAGAGGTCAAAAGCAGCTCAAAAACTGTTAACAACATCTTTCAATGGTCAAGGGAATTTTGCTTATCTGCCATGACTATAGTAGTCCTATCCATAAATTCTTAACACTATATCAAATGGGTTTTTTATAAATTCCAAAATCCAAAACTCTAGCAAGACAAGAACACAAGCAGAGCACAAAACCAATATACTCATTCACACTTCATGAACGAGTATGAACATATGAACTTAAATTTATATCTTTGCCAT